ACCATAATTATCCAACGTCTGGTTATAATAGATTGATGATCCATCAAAGTTTTCAGCTTGATTGTCGAAATTAGTTAGTAATTCGTTAAAAGTATCGCCATATAAATCATTTTGTTCAAATTGTATATTATCATATAATCCTAGGCCACTCCCATAAGTTCCCTGCGGACCAACATATAATTCATTCGTTTGCATTTGGTATATTTGAGGAACCCCGTAAAACCCTTGAGTTCCGTTTTTCCAGGCTTCACTATCAATATATTGTATTTCTCCATTATCACCTCCAGGATAATTTGGAAACTCTGTGTTGTGAAAAAATTGAAATATTCTAATGTATTCAAAATAAATCTGCTGGCATAAACCTTATACTCAAAAAGCATACCATCATAATTTTTAATACTGCAAAGGCATCTTTTGATGGTTTAAAAAATGAATTACCTGTCCCAGATAATTGTGCCATCGCGGTTGTAGGTTGTGGTAATATATTATCATAATCATTAATATCTCCATCATCAAAAGATTCAGGATCTTCACCTGCGACACCTGAAGCAGAATATAAATATTTTATATGCTTAGTTCTAGCATGTAAAATAAAAAGAATTCTTATCTATTTAATCGTGAATCAGTATACCATTATATTTTCGATACTGTGAAATAAACCGTTCTTGTAAAGTCATTACTATAAGAAGATCTGTTGTATTCAAATCATGAGACTTCCGATATCTATTGTGGGTAGTAATAATCTTCCCAAGAGTGAAACGTTGTGAATATTTATTGTCCTATAATAAAATGTTGAACGTTCCGTCTAAATCCTACAAAGTTCCACATTCAATAATATACACATATAATAATAACATACTTGAGTCAAAACTAATCGAAAGTCATCGACGGCTGAGTCTTTAAATGTCAGCACTACTTCATGATCGTGTATTTCATCTCGAATATATTCTTTTTTGAGTTCTTGCATCCATTCACCCAAGCATTTGTTTAACTTTACGTGTAATGGAAATTCTTGGCCTTCATATACCAAGATACAGCGAGATTTCTCGCTATTTGAAAGATCATTTTCTTTTTTAGAAGACTGCTTACCAACAGAAAGATTTGATTCACTCTCCAAATCATTGGGTACAACACCATCTTCATTATTATCATAAATTGTTGCATCACCAGTGTTTAATTCATCGTCTTCAAAAACGACTGCATCTCCACTATCCGGAAAAGATCCGTCGATCGTACCTAATTCATTTTCTTTTGGTAAGAGTTCGGTATCATTATTATCTGACACGTGCACAGTTTTCTCTGAAGGCTCTGTGTTTATGTCAGTGTTAGCTTGTTCTTCGACTATTGAGGTTGTTTCCATTCGTTCAAGTATATTCCTCTTAAAATCATTATGAAGTGGTTGTTTCTCTTGATGATCACTTTCCACTAGCTTAAATGATCCATCTTGTGTCTCTGACTGTCCATTTATTTTCTCACTAATTTTTAGTGAACTAACTTCATCTAGCTGATCAAGGTGCTCATTGTCCTTTGAACCGCGTTTATTCAGTGTAATATTATTATCCTCTATCAGAGTTTCTTCAAGAGGCTCGTTCTCCAACAGGTT